CTCTGTGTCCCCTGGTCTGTGTGGCCCAGCAAACATTTGGTTAGCAAATATTTGCTTTTCCACCTCTGTGTGAATTGCCTCCCTCCACTTTGAAGTTCCAAACCACTGCCCCTACTTCTTTAGCTGAAGATGGTATTGAAGGTGAGGGTTTCAGCCATTTTGGCAAGTTACATGAATGTTGCTGGGTCTCTTCCATGCCTACATGTTATTAAACTTTTATTTGATTTTCTGCTGTTAATCTGGCTGATGCCAGTTTAACCCTTAGAGCAGCCAGGAGAACTTAGGATAGAGGAAAAATTTTCCCTCTCTGACTCCTTTTCATTCATTTGGTTGCTTTATGCTCTTCTAATATCAATGTCTCAAATCTCCCATTCTTTCCATTTCTACAGACTGCCTCCTCAGCTAACCAGCTGTTCACGATTCTGTAGTGGATTTGCTCTCTACTTCTAAATATCATCAAGTTTTCAGTGTATAAGCTTTCTAAATTGTAAACAATGATTGAATGATGGGACTGTGAGTGTTTTTTCTTTTTCTTTTGATCTTTTGGGGGATCTTTCATATACTTTATATTTTATAAATTCTAGAAAACATGATAGATATGTAATATATTAATATAGAATATATTACTGTATAATATATAATTCTAGAAATAATATATACCATTATAATATATACTATAACAGATTCTAAAATACTATTAAAATAATATTGTATTTTTATTAAAATAAGTTCTTGATAAAATTATTGTCACAGATATGGGCTCTTTTGGAAAATAGTTTCTGATCATTTCTGCACAAAAATAATGTCCTGTGTACAGAAATCACCATATTCCTGTATCTTTTGGTTTTTCTCTACTTCTCTCCATCTCTGTATATATGTATGAAAGGAGTTTTAAAAAACTAAATGTTTTAAACATTAACTTAGTAAAACTGAGGAAAGAGGTTAAAGTTTGTTACAATAATAAAATGAAACCCACCAGATAAATGATGAAAGATTAGCTAAGATATTCCAAGGTTAAAAAAATTAAAACCCTACTGTAACAATAAAACAATTCATGCATGGTAAGTCCAAAATCTGATGGAGGGAATATTTTTGAGGGGAGAATAAGTAATCAATGGAGAACTTTTCAAGCTTTGGGATTCCTAAATGGATTATATATAAGCCACTCCTGCATGTTAGGGCAGGGAGCCCCAAGAGAGAAAGGTCAAAGCCAAGTCCACTAGCCAAGCCTCCTTGGGGTTGCAGGACAATAAGCATGAAGGTAGCCCCAGTTGCACCCCCTCAATGGTAAGTTCCCAATGCTCCTACCCTCCATATAGGCTGTAGATTACCTTTTTGTATATAAAAGCTATTAATACATATACTGTATCAACAACTACAGACTCTATTACCTTATAATATAGAGCAGGTTGCTAAGACTACTGACTAAAGGGAGCAGAAAGAACATCTTATAAAACACTCCCTCAAATATCTATAAATAAAGATATTACTCTTTATTGTTAAGTAGGTCTCTTTGCTTTTTATTTGGATCAACTGCAGAAATACTATTCTGAGGTAGTCTTGATCTCATCAATATTCTTGTGATATGCAAGAAGTAGCAACTCTTCCTCCCATTAAGAAGAGAAATGTGAACTAAAAATTATCTTTCTTTCCCCCTGTGTGTGTTAATTGCTCAGTTGTGTCTGACTCTTTGCGACCCCATGGACTGTGGCCTGCCAGACTCCTCTGTCCGTGGGATTCTCCAGGCACGAATATTAGAGTGAGTAGCCATTCCCTTCTCTAGGGGATCTTCCCAATCCAGGGATCGAACCCAGGTCTCTTGCATTGCAGGTAGATTCTTTACTGTCTGAGTCACCTTGGAAGCCCTTTTCCCTCTAATACTATCCTCAGTGAAAAGGAGAGCATTGCACATACAGCGCTGTGTATTCACCATACTACTTCGTCTTCCTGGACACACAGAAAGACAATATTCCCAACCTCCTTTGAAGATGGATTGGGACCATTTCACTGAGTTCTTGCCAATGGAATGTAGACAGAAATGGTATATGCCATTTCCAAGTCTGGCTATAAAAACCCTGTGGAGAAGCAATGCTCTGGTTCTTTCTCTCCTGATAGCAGAGGTTATGTAGGCCACATGTTTACATGGGAATACAATGAACTGGTGGAAACCTGGACCCCTGAGTCACTAAACAGAAGAGACCCCTGCCAACCCACATCATACTTTAAGATAGTAAAACTGTTCTGAGGCCCAATGTCTTTATCTGTAATGACTTATATCAAGGCTATGTCTTCTGCAATGCCACTTATTCTTCCTTCAAATATTCTTAATTTATAATATGATTTTCCAAGTCATATTGCTCTATTTATTTTTATTTTACTCTCTTTTGAAAAGTCTATTTTTAAAATATTTAAATAGCTTATAGAAAAGTTATATCTGGGAGGCTCCCTTTTAATAGCTACACTGATTATTTTTATTATATTAATTAATAATAGCCCACTAGTGAAAACACCATAGAAACTTTTATAGCCATAAAGTTCATTTTACCACTGTCATATTTGAAGTCACATAGAGCTATAAAGTTTTGCTATTACTATAGCTGAGTAGCTCTACTAGATACAATCCTGCCACAGGAAACAATAAAAAATTCTGGGGAAAAAGTAATATAAAACAGTGACTGGGAAGCATAGGATAATAAACACAAACAGTAGGTCTTGGAGGGAACTCAAAACTCAAAAGGAGGAACAGAGCCCAGAACCAGTTTAACACCCATTAGACTGAGGACAAAACAAAGATCTCCCTACCTGGAGTGGCTAAAACTTGGATAGAAAATCTCCAGAATTTCTGGCCTGAAGAACTAGAGGACAGAATCCAGGGCAACCACAGACACTGCAAAGAAGGGGTGTGACAATGAAAAGGAGACAAGAGGGGAAGTGTATCAATTTCTCTCTATAAATTTTGCTCAGCTCTGTGGCTGACCCTTGAACCACACAGGGGCTGGGGTAGGCTCAAATTAACACAATTTTATATGTGAGAGCTGAAATTTGAGATGTTGCCACCTCAGGAGATTCAGACCGTGAAGTCTGAAACCAACCAAAGGACATACCTGATTTGAAAACAAACAAGCAAAATATCAAAACCAACTCTTCGGGAGCCTATAGCAGAATCCAAATCTCCATGATGTGACATTCACAATATCCAGCAAAAATCCAAAAGTATACAACAGAACAGGAAAACGTGGCCCAATTTTTAGCAGAAAAGATAATCAACAGAGATCAACCCTAAGGTGACTCAGTCATCGAAATTATTACACAAGGATATTGTAATTATGCTCAGGGAATTAAATAAAAATACCTTCAGGATGAATGTAAAGACAGGGACTCTCAGCAAAGAAAAACTAAAAATAGAACCCAGTGGAAACTGTAGAAGGGAAATCAGATAGAGTGGCAGTCCACCTCTCAATTATGAATTACAAAGAAAAATTAATTTTTTATAACAAAGCTGTAAACAAGGAAGAACAAAAAGCTTTGCTCAGCACCCAGCTCTAAGTCGTTACTGGCTGACCAGGCACTCTGAGAGGAATTCAGGATGAAAAACAGGATGAGGCTCTCTGTGCTTTGGAAAAAACAAGTCCCCTTACACAGTTAGATCCATACATAGAAAAGCGCTCAGGTCATTAACTTGAGATATCTGTTCTTTGTGAATAGCAGTAATCTTTTACCAAGCTGCATGCTTGACTGCATGATTCCCTAGCCAAATGTCATATACAAACGAGGTTGCTTCCTCTTCCTTCTTGGAGCAGTTCCCTCAGAGCTATTGAGAGGCTGTCTCCTTGGGCTATAGTCCTCAGGAAGGTCTCAACATGTACACACGGCTATATTTAAAATGGATAACCAACAAGGACCTACTGCATAGCATAGGGAACTGTAATAACTTAATTGGGAAAATAATTTGAAAAAGAACAGATATATGTATAGGTATAGCTGAATCACTTTGTTGCACACCTGAAACTAACAGAACATTGTTAATCAACTATACCCCAATATAAAATAAAAAGTTACAAAAAACCAACAAAAACCAACTCATAACTCTGATAGAGTGAATTTTTCTCCCAAGTCGACATGGCAAGGAAAGGAGCAAAGTGCCCCCATCATTCCCTATACTTTTCTCCAAACTCTTATTATGAGCTAAGCATTGAGAAGAGTCTGAGGATATGGGGAGAAAGATATAAGTAAGGAGGAACAGATTCACTTCCCTTCCTTAAAGGAGTTCAAAGTCTTAGAATTTTGTGAAGTGAAATCCATTCACCTTTATTACGAGGAATGTAACAAAAATATCTGTTACAAATGATTTATATATTGTAACTGGCGAGTATTGGAAAATAATCCTTTTTGAGAGAATATTATCTATTTTCATGTGAAATCATTTCAACAGGCTTCGCATTCCAATTAGAGTAATTCCATGCCATATGTGGTCCTCATACTATTCATTACTCTGACTATCTTTCTTCTTTTTAATCTTATCCTCTTGCAACTTTTCCAGCAAAACCCATTTCCCCTTAAGGCCAGTCTTTTACCATTTGTTTCATTAAGAAATCTTTAGTTTACAGAGAAAAAATAAAGTTAATTACAAAGTAGTCAGTGGGTGACAAGTGGAAAAACAGGGTCGGGGAAGATGCTAAAGACACATAAAAGTTACAGGAATCTTAGAGGAGAGGAAGAGAGTTTCAAGTCACACGCTGAATAGATGGAATATCTTTCTTAAATTATTACTCATATTCTGGAAATACCCTGTGAAACTATATGAAATGTGTTAAATGTTGTCATAATATTGTATTTTATGCATTCTAAAAACATCACGTTGCTTTAAAGGATGAGAAAAAAAACTACAGTAATGCTTAGAAGATGTACACTGTACTGCACTGCTGTTTTCTAACATTTCATTTTGTGTTACAGTATCTCTTCATGACATACTTATTATGAAATTGACATTTAAATTTTACCTGATGTCAGGCGTTGGCATTTTAATCCTGTCAGGCATCTTTTCTTTTTATATGATGATCTCAATGAATGCTCTGCTTTGTTCTTTTCTTTTGTTTTCAATTCCATTTCAAAACATACTGCGTGAATATTTTTTCTTCCTTTGTTCACATACATTTAACAGCCCTCCAGTACCTAAAAAGAAGAGTAGATAAAACACATGTGGATATTGTAGTAAAGGTAATTAACTGTAATTTTAAAAAGATAATATTTACAAAGCCAAAAAGTTTTTAAAGGAGAAAAAAACATAAAAAAATAAAAAGGACAACATTCGTTAATAACATGATTCCTCTTTATCTCTGACCACTTTCTCCCTTGGCTGATATTTTTAAAAGTCCACAAGAGATCTTCATATGGCTTCCTGGATTTTTTTTCCTCACAATTCTCAGAACAAAGAATAATTGTGCCCCAAGGCTAAAGGAACAATGACACTTCTGCTTATTTTTCTTTAAAAGCGAGCTATTGTTTCGGCTGTGTGCATTCATTGCCTTTCTGATTCTCTTTCAGAGCTTTTTACTGTGTAAAACATTTGTTGCAGGCTGATGTATTGAAATCACAGATTGCAAATATATTTGGAGTTTTATTTATCTTGTCTGAACGGGGTGAGACATCATCTTTCTACAACTTTCTGATGAAACACACCAACTTAGTACTGCTTTTTAAATTAAAGCTTGTGGATGTAAAATGCCTGTAGAAATTACCTGTGCTGAAGGGTCTCCAAGACCATCCCTGCATTCAGACATTCACTAGAAGGACTCATAAGACAGTTGCATACATCGCTAAGAATTATTACAGTGATGCAGCATGGATATACAGCCAGATCATGACAGGGAAAGACACAAGCAGAATCTAGAAGAATCTACATGCAGGCTTCCTTTTGTTCTCTTCCTGTTACTAAATCAAATTTGGGTCTACTTGCCCACTGAGACGGAGAAGGCAAGGGCACCCCACTCTAGTACTCTTGCCTGGAAAATCCCATGGGCGGAGGAGCCTGGTAGGCTGCAGTCCATGGGGTCGTGAAGAGTCAGACATGACTGAGCGACTTCACTTTCACTTTTCACTTTTATGCATTGGGGAAGGAAATGGCAACCCACTCCAGTGTTCTTGCCTGGAGAATCCCAGGGATGGGGTCGCACAGAGTCGGACACGACTGAAGTGACTTAGCAGTAGCAGCAGCCCACTGACAAGCAAAGCCAATCTACTTATAACAGGTGGTGGTGAAAGAAAGTACAGCATTTATCTGCAGGGCACCAAACAAGGAGAGAGCTTCCTTTCCTAGCTCAGATGGTAAAGCTTCTGCCTGCAATGTGGGAGACCCGGGTTTGATCCCTGGGTTGGGAAAATCCCTGAGTTGGGAAGATCCTCTGGAGAAGGAACTGGCAACCCACTCCAGTATTCTTGCCTGGAAAATCCCATGGACAGAAGAGCCTGGTGGGCTACAGTCAATGGGGTCGCAAAGAGTTGGACTTGACTAAACGACTAACACTTTCACAAACAAGGAGAATGGGCAGCTCAGGCTCAAAAGACCAGAACTCCTTGCTGGCTTTCAGGGGAGAGTTTTTGAAAGGCAGCATTTGGGGTGACTGCTGCAGGATACAAGACTTTCTTCTGATTGGTTGGTGGTAAGGTAACAGGGTGATGTTTTGGTAATCTTAATCAATCATCAACCTTCTGGTTCCAATCAGTCTGAGGTCTACCTTCTTGTGGTCAGAATGTAGTCACCATCCTCCAGCTAGGTGGGGAGTCTTAGTGTTTGCAAAATGACTCAAAGATATATGTCAGATTATTATGTGGATTCTTTACCAGCTGAGCTACCAGGGAAGCCAAAATTACTGAAGACAGTGACTGCAGTCATGAAACCAGAAGATGATTGCTTTTTGGCAAGAAAGTGATGATAAACATAGTGTGTTGAAAAGCAGAGATACTACTCTCCCAACAAAGGTCTATATAGTCTAGGCTATGGTCTTCCCAGTGGTCACATACGGTTGTGAGAGCTGGACCGTAAAGAAAGCAGAATACTAAAGAATTGATGCTTTCAAACTGTGGTGCTGGAGAAGACTCCTGAGAGTCCCTTGGACAGCAAGGAGACCAAACCAATCAATCTTAAGGGAGATCAACCCTGAATATTCACTGGAAGGACTGATGCTGAAGCTGAAGTTCCAGTATTTTGGTCATCTGATGTGAACAGACAACACATTGTAAAAGTCCCTGATGCTGGGAAAGATTGAGGGCAGAAGAAGAGGGCGTCAGAGGATGAGATGGCTGGACAGCATCACTAATGTGCTGTACATGAACGTGGGCAAACTCCAGGAGATGGTGAGGGACAGGGAGGCCTGGCACGCTACAGTCCATGGGATCGCAAAAGTCGGACACGATTGGGCAGCTGAACAACAACAACAACATTATGTGGATCTCTTGAGGAAGAACTAAGACTCTGTTTTATCGCTGAACTATTATCTAAGCTCTCACAACTTTTCTTGCTTGAATGCTTTTCCTTTGTTTTGGCATTCCCTCATTTCCCTAATTAGCAAATGCTTGAGTCTGCTCTTTGGAACTCAGGAAGGGCCTAAGAGACTAAAGCCTTTTTCTACAGGAGAGAAATGGGGGACACGGAGGGGCTTTTGTACCTGGGAAGGCCTGCAGGGTCTTGCTAGGTTTTATTCCTCCCATTAGGTGTCACTCAGAGTGCACGCTTTCCCCAGCAAGAAAAATGCAGCAACACATGTGTGATCTTACTACCCAGGGCCATCCATTTGAGACTTAGCATTTGGGGCTTTCATTGGGGGCTGGTCACGTAGGTACCCTCTGTCAATCATGTATCAAAATTCTAGATGATACTATGCAGGGCCCAGTGGGACTCCTGGGAATGAGGCCTTCCTGTGTCACCCATTTCCTTGATTATAGGAAACAGCCTCCATTCAGCCTCCATGACCTTCCCTGAATTCCAACAGGCAGATTCAAGCAGTTGTTAAAAGGGAAGGGAGGGGATGTGAGACTAGGGAGAAACAAACAGTCAAGAGCAGCCTTGGGTCAAGGTCCTGTTTTCCCATTTCCCCATCCATGGATACACACAAGAGTTCTTTGAGCTATTTTGCAGATACTGAAAGCCCCTCCAGGTGGAAGAAGTTAACAATTAATAATGGTATGCTGCCCACAGGCACGTAGACCCCAGACCAGTTGGACCTGAAGGTCGATGATGTGGACTCCTGTTTACCTTACCAGTAACCCATAAGAAGAAAGTCCACGAGCTGATCACACCCTCTTTGAACCATTACTATAAAACTTCTCAGTATCTGCCCTAAGTTGGGACACACGGTTTTGAGGTCTTTAGCCTGCTGTGGCCCCCCTTTGCCTGGCAAAGCAATAAAGCTACTCTTTTCTACTTCACGAAAAACTCGGTCTCCAAGATTTGACTTGGCACCATTGTGCAGAGAAGCTGAGCTCTCAGCATTGCAGACTTCAGAAGGAAAGCAGAGTTCAGCAGGAACTACATTGTTTGCACAAACCATTTAGACACAGTGGGTCACCCTTATCAGTTTGGGGACTGGTGGGCACCCTCCCCAAATCCAAGTTCCCAGATGCCAGGCAAAGTTCAAACTCACTAACAGACTCTTCTTAGGAAAGCAGTCTCAAGCATGTTATCTTAACTCTTTTCTGCAAAGTAGCTAACCAAGTTAGCCGTGCAAATAGAATATTTTTGAACACCAGTAATTTACCTAAAAATAAATGCCCTTTATACTGTAGTCTACCTACCTCAGCAAAGTTACAGTAATAGCAATTTATTTTCTGGTTACAAATATGGATTTCCCAATGTAATTTATTAGCTTTTCTTTTTGAAGGTAATGTCAACTAAAAAGCCACAATAAAAAACAACTGATCTTACATTCTTCTGTCAACAGTCTCATTAACGAGTTTGTTGAGGTATTCAATTAACAGGATGTTGGAATTAATCAGAGTTAAAATGTAATTTTTCTCTGACCCTGTTGAAAACTAAAAGCCTATTATGGCACTTTGGCTACTCTAAGTCTCTTGGCAGGCCTGGAAGTTCACACATTAATAGATGAGCTGAAGCTACTGCACATTCTTTGTTGTTCATCTCTACTTTGACTAAAGAAGCCTTTGATGTTTATCAAACCTACCAGTTTGAGCCAGTTTTTTAATACTTGTTTTCTTTTAATATTAAGATCCACTACAATATTGTAAAGTAATTAGCCTCCAACTAATAAAAATAAATGAAAAAAATATATATATATAGACATTGAAAAAAAAAGAATACAGCTGCTGATATTTTTTTAAAAATAATCTTATTTCTTTACTTTTGGCTATGCTGGCTCTTCATTACTGTGCACAGGCTTTCTCTAGTTGAGCAAGCAATGGCTACTCTCCAGTTGCCATGCGAGAGCTTCTAATTGTGATGGCTTCTTTTGTTTCAGAGCACAGGCTCTAGGGTACACAGACTTCAGTAGTTGCAGCATGAGGTCTCAGTAGTTGCGTCACATGGGCTTAGTTGCCCCACCGGCATATGCAATCTTCCAAGACCGGGGATCAAACCCATGTCCCCTACATTGGCAGGCAGATTCTTAACCACTGGACCACCAGAGAAGTCCTCAGCTGCTTATCTCTAAGCACAACTACTTTCTCATTCTTTCAACCTACAAAAGCCTGCTGTTCCCTACGCATGTACTTTAAACATAGATATCAGTGTATTAGACGTATCTTACTTCCTAGGTGGCGCTAGTGGTAAAGAACCCACCTGCCAATGCAGGAGACATAAGAGACGAAGGTTCGAACCCTGGGTTGGGAAGATCTCCTGGAGGAGGGCATGACAACCCACTCCAGTATTCTTGCCTGGAGAATCCCATGGACAGAGGAGCCTGGTGGGCTACAGTTCATAGGGTCGCAAAAAGTCGGACACAATTGAAGCGGCTTAGCACACACACATACACTATTAATAGCAGGTAGGTGATCATTATGCTTCTGGGAAAATTATACATACTCTTA